ACATCATGACTTTGTCCTGATTCTCCTCCATTACTCTCCGGTCCTTCTCTCATTCCTACCTATTTGACTAGGTCAAAAGCAACACGTGGTGAGGCTGTTAGACAGTGTTAGTTGTGTGCTGCCTGGCTGGGTGGCTGCTGCCTGTTGGAACAGGCCATGAGCTGAGTCATAAACTACTTTTCTTCCAGAGGCAGCAGTCTTGATTTGCCTGAGAATTGCCCCCCTCATGTCAAATTAGGTTGGAATTGGCCATTGGGCTCAAAAATTATGACGGGGGACCGAGAAGAAGTTAGGCAGCTACAGGGCAGAAAGCACAATCACATGAAGTTCCCTACCTTTAAAAACCCCAGTTAGAAATCATTTTAGGTTGCAATAAGCATATTCCTTCTTTTTTGTGCTGATTCTGGAATTCTGTCCCAGCAGGAAGATGCTTTTAATTCTTTATTAATTAAGTCTCTTTAGGGCTATAATACGGATTTTAGGACCTCACTTAGCAAAGCCCGTTTCCATTTCAGCTACTAGACTGGTACACAGAGATGTAGAACTTATCTGTGGACTCACCCTGTCAGTCAGACTGAAGTATTCAGAAGCGTTACTAGGGAGAACAGACTTTTTAGAACCCCTTCCAGAGCAGTGGAGAAATGGTTTATTTAGAGTGAGATTCAAAATGGGAATCCGAGCAACGGGAATCTGAGCAACAGGAATCAGAGCAACTTCATTTGCTCTGGGACAGTCACTTGAGCTAGCCTTTCTTTCATTATTGCTAAATGAGGTTAAGGATAACTCTGTGGATGTGTCTGTCTTCTTATGCCCAAAGTTGTCTATCAAATGTCATGAGAAGGTTCCTGGTGAAGCAAAAGAAATTAAGGAAAACCAAATACGGGAAATGCAAAGGAGGTATCTACTAAGAAAAAGTGTAGCTTGAGCTTTATTCTTGTTAGTCCTTGTTTTACATGACACTAAAGGCAAAATACAAGATTGCTTGACCACCACAAAACAAGTTTTCTGTGTGTGGAACAGTGAAAAAGCCAACTGTTTATAGGAGGTGACAGGATGAAAGACCACCTTCAAGATCATAGAAAACGTCAAAGGTTTTGAAATAGATGAGGTAATAGCAGAGTTGACTATTACTGCTCTGCAGAGAAACTGGTGATAAGAGATGATTATGTTAGCTTTTATGAGATTCCTACTTCCAGGCAGATCTCTATCTTGATGGGAATCAGAGTTATCAGCTGTTCATGCAGCTCAAACTGGCATTTTAATATCACACTGGTATTCTGCAGATCCTTGTTCTTTTGCAGCATTCAGTAATGGAAGAAATTAGACAAATAAGAACTGCTCATACAACAGGTTGTAGACTTAAGGGTTGTAGAAGAGCTGGTTATGTTTTACTAGAAGTCCACACACCTATACTGATAATCTGTGATGGGCTAGACAACATCACTGAAGTCCTGTCATTTCTGAGGATGTTTGGTGCATTTTGTCTCCAGGCAGAGGTTTTTTTGCCTGGTAAGATTTCAGGTGCAAAATACTTATAATTTTTCCTTAAGTTCATGTATATAGAACAAATTAGGAGCAAGGTAAATATTATTTTGGAACATATTAATACTAATGGCTTTCTATGAACAACCTCATCTGCAAGTAAAATATAAAATTAATAGCATTTCTGGACTTTTTTACAAGACACGGTGCTAATGAACAACTTTAAAATGAATTTTAATTAAGTTATCTCATTATGAATTAGGCAATATAATGACTTTATTGCATAATATAATAAATTAGTTGTTTAAACTTTTATTATTATTTTGTTTTCCTTAGTGGTACATGATACCCACAGTCCTTTGACTTGAATATGTTGCTTGACTTTTTAGGAAGCAACATTATAACATGGCAGTAGCACATTCCAGTGGTTAACTTGCAGACAAGGTAATTGCATAGGTAACTGCTCTGAAAACTCATAATTTACTTTCAGTATTCTGAGATAGTATAATCAGCACTATCAGTGCTAAGTCTGTGTGATGATGTAGTTTTTAGTGAATGATGATTTTAAAAGCAACGTTTGTTTAAATGCAAGCCTAAAAAAATGAAAAGAAATGAAAATAAGGCAGTGATATCCCATCTTCCTAATTAATTTTTTCATCCCTTTCCATATGGACATGTGTGAAAGCATTCTAAATTGTCTACAGAGGAGCTGATGACACAGGTTAAAATAAATCTTGACTAGCAAAAATTATCATTGGGAATAGACAGCATATATTAGTTAGTATTCATGTCTGGATGTGTGATTAACACTTCCAATCCCCTGGATAAGGATGAGTTCAGGAAAGAATATTTAATTTAAAATAGCTCAGAAGAAATGCAGTTATCAGAGGCACCTTTCCAGTTCTTTAAGCTTCAGCTGGCATCAAATTCCACCTAATCACAACAGAATGACCTTCCCCAAATTGTTAGACTGAATCCATTTCTCTTGATGTCCCAAGTTCACTTGTGTTTCTTTTGTCTTTTGATATATCCCCAGAGCACAGCACAAAGAACAAGCAGTTAAAAAGCAGTATCTGCTTAACAAGCAGACTGCTTACAACTGCTTAGCCCCAGGCTGGATAGCATTTTTGAATTTAGCAAAGAAAGAGAAATGAAGATATAATGGCCAGAGCTGAAAGATAAATCCAAAGATTTCTTTAGATATCCCTAAACTGGGGGTGAATATAGTGGCATAGAGAAAATTTTGAAGAGAGTAAGTGTGGAATATTTATCTGCAGTCAGTCTTTTCAGATTCTCCTGTTACTGATAAAAATGACAAAAGCCTCCAAAAGATCGGTGCATAGTGAAGGTAGCAATATATGTCATATGGAAATAACCAGCATCAGAAAGTATGCTGTTTGGATTAACAATCTGCTGTTTCCAGTGATCCCTATCTGCCACTGATTTAATTGGAGGATGTCCTGATAGAGACAGGGTGCCAACAGGACTTTGGTCTTTCACAGGGAGAAAGGGAGTAACTAGTGAAGAACAGAGTGAAGCTAAAGCCTAACATTTTCCAGAGAATTCTTCTTAACTTCTTAACTTGACCTGCTACGCAAGGGTGGCTCTTTGTCCCCATAGACTTTCCTGGGGCATGGGGCTGAATGCCACCAGTAAAGCCTGAAATGGTTCTGCCGATTCTCAGCTGAAATATTTGAATGGAAGGATTTCCTTAGCTTTTCCGTGCGTTCTCTTTCTCTCCTACAGGGAGTCTCTCCTGAGATCCACAGTGGGGGGTCCTTTTTGGAGAGGAAGGGGCATTTTGTTCCACCACTTTTCCTGTTTCTGGGGAAGAAAATGTGCAAAGAAGGAGGAAGAGGAGAAGAAGAAGCAAGAAGAGGCAGCTTTGTTTGCCTCACAGACTGGGAAAGAAGAACAGGAAAGGGAATCCAAAGGACAAGAAGACTGAATGAGGAACAGTAGAAAATTTATGGAGATCCTTCCTAAATAAGACCTAAGGTCCCAGTCTTCCTTCATGACTCTTCTTCTCCCAGCAGCAATCCTATAAAAGCTTTCCCAACTCTATCTAGAAGCCCTCCCCACTCTGGTTACCCTCTCCACAGAGCTCCATTTCATTTTGCGGGAGAGCAATTCTACATCCAGAAAACTAACTTTACTTCACTAAAATTAATTATGCAAAGGAAAGTACAATTTTCCACATCTTGGTGTTACAAAATTTGAGTAATAGTTGATCTTTTGAGGTTAAAAACTTTGGAAATGGTAGTTGGTCCTCTGTGCTAGTGGAGCTGCTTTGGGAAGTGCTTGCTATTGAGGGGGAAAGTAACAGGTTCAAAACTTGCTGTGAGTACTAAAACAGTCATTAGAAGACCTGTCTGCTGGCCATGGTGAGAAAGAAAGTAAAACCTTCCAGTGGGTTCCAATGCAGATCTCTGTCAGGAAAGAAACCTGCCTAAGGATACTGTAAGATAGAATGTGAGCACCTAATATATCAAAAGATGTGATTTAGATGTGGAGTGCATATGCCAGTGATAGTTTCCAGGTGTGCAAAGTTGTGGATCAGCATTACGCCTTTGAGTTTGGACGACTATGAGTAGCAGTCTGTTTCATGTTTGGGCCAGCAAACACAGTGTTACAGAGCCAGATTAGTGCCAGATGGATCATCCTTCTTCATAAATCTTCAGAGAAACTTGTGAAAAACCTGATGTAAACTTTTGAAAAGAAAGTTATGGAGTCAGATGTGCAAAGTCATCTGGATACCTATGAATCTTGCACATACTTGTTTCTCATGTAAAATGTTTTTAGTTTAACTAATCTGCTACAACAAACTAACTTATACCTAAAAATGTAGGTTTTGGTACCTCATTCAAAAGGTAATAGTATTGGTATGACAGATTTAAAATCCTGGTGTTTCAGTAAGCATAGCTGCTGCTGAAAGTAAGAAAAAACTTTCATTAAACATCTCCTGTTTTTTGAACCATTTTTTGGAAATGGTTTTAAGCTATTTTTAAGCTATAAAGCACATGAGAAATACAATATACTTAACGTACACAGAATCTACAGGACATCTTTAATTAAGAACATAGATTTAGTACTGCTAGTCACTGAGTCAAGTTTCCTGTTGCTGTAGGATACTTTATCAAAAAAATTTTTCAAGCTGCGTCTTAAAACTGGTGAGGTAGTTTGTTCCCATGACTCCTAATTGAAGAGTTTTCCAGGACCTCTCCTTTTAAGTAACGAAGGTTAAAAACCTTACTAATTCCCATTTTAAATTCAGTCATAGTGATTTCCATTTCTTCTTGTATAAACATTTTTCTTGATCTTACACAGCTCAGTTCCCACTTTGGTTTTTGTATCTGGTTAGTTTTTAAATCAAGCTTTGTTTTGCTTTATACGCTGTGTTCTTTTGATAATCGCAGCAACTCCTGTCTCCATTGTGCTGATTTTGTATGAATCTTCCTATGAATGTAATGACTTGAATATATTCAGTATTCCAGACGGTCACATTCTTCTGGCTTTATTTCCTCTCTTTGAGTTATGTCACCTAATATATCCTAGAGCTGAATTAGAGGGGTTTTAATTTTTTCTTTCTGATGATGACTTCCCGTTTCAAAGCAGAAATTACTGCTAATTTCTAAACGTTTATTTCACATGTGATGAAGAGCTACAAGGAGATTACCAAACATGCCTGTGTCTGCAAGAGCCAATTCACTTTGTTGTTGTGACTTTATAGTATTACAGTGTGCCAGGGACATACCACCTTCTTTGCATTTGTTAGATATCTTGATGCAGAGTGCTTGGACTTTCCTGTCGTCTGTAAATTTCATTCTGTGCATCTTATGGCAATGTCATTCATTAAAATGTCAATTGAGGTACACCCAGTCCTTCAGCAATTTCCACTGCTATTTCCACAAATTTTACAATTCTTACAATAATCTTATCCCCTGCTCAATTATTTCACTTCCCTCATACTAAAAACTCTGTTTTACAGAAGTCCAAGGAGATTAGATCCATTGCACTTCTGTGGCATCAAAAAAAAAAAAAAAAAAAAAAAGATGGAGGGTTATTCTGGTACAATCTATATTTCAGAAACCTGTGTTATTCTTTGTCTTTTTTTCCCAGTATTTTTCATTTTCATTTATTACAAAGACTTTACTCTTTTCTTCAAGGTACTTATATCCTTCAGTACAACCAAGATCAAGCTAATGGGTTATTAACTGCTTAAATCAATTCCCAAATCTTTTGAAACTGCAATTTGAAAGGTACTATGATTGCTTTCACCAGTTATAGATAGTAACTTCCCAACTTGAGAGATTTATTAAAAATACTTGCTGCTAGATCTGTAACTTTATGCCCTAATTCTTTCATTACTTTGAGATAAAGATGATATCATTCCCTGACTTTATTACATTAAATTCTTTGTATTTTGTTTCTAGTTTAGATACAGACTTTTGTATTTCCATACTGCTCTTCTGCATCACTGTCCTGAGTTCACCATCATCCTTACTGAAAACAGAGGCATAGAATTTGTTGGTTTTGGACCTGGGTCTAGTTTATCTTTAATCTTGACCAAATCTTTAATCTAGAAAGTCACTGCTTTTTATTGGTCTCTGTTTATATAACTAAAGAAAATGTTATTGTTTATTTTCAATTCTTCTGCAAGATGTAACTCAGCTGGACTTTGGAAAGTTTCTACTTTATCCTCTTGCTTCTTGACCTCCACATTTCAGCTTTTTTTTTTATTGCTACAGCAGTAACTGGTAAATAATATCAGTTCAAGATTGTCGGTGGGGTCAAAATGAAGCAATTAGATTTTGGAAATACACATTATAGGTTTCACTGAATCTCTAATGTCCTCCTTTTAAAAAAGGAATGTAACTAGTTACTATTATTTTCTCTGTAGAACAGTTAAGGTTAAGACCAGGCTAATGATAGAGGAATTTGGGAAGCAACATAGAAAGAACTTAGGTCTGCACTCCTGTCATAGGTGACAGGAAGTCCCCTAGTTCGATTTGTTATTGATGTCCACGAAATTGTTGCTTCTGTTTCAAACCTGTGTACATTTCTCACATGACGTTCCTGAACATCTTCCAGTCTTTGTACAGAGGCTGCATATCTCAGTATCTCCCAGTCTAACATAACACTGTTTTTGAAAAGTAAATCCTGTATTGACTTTAATGAAGCTTGCTGTAGACTTAAGAATTCGACATTTTGAAAAAACTTATTTTTTTATTTGCTGTGCCAGGTGTGTTTCCTTCACTTCTTATAGCAAATACTGAGACAATATTATTGAAAACAAAGCACAGATTTGGTTAGGTTGGTTTGGGTTTTTTTGGCAGCTGGCAGTATACATAAGATTTGTTTCTGCTGTAAGTACAAGTACGTGATATTCCTAAAGCAAATGCTATTACATTTCAATTTCTTACTTTGTCGTGTTTTAGTTGGAAATAACGAAACATTTTTACCTGTTTAAAGCAAGCTTCCACCAGATTTGGAGGGAACATATTTCTGTGAAAAAGAAAGAAAATAGCATAAGAAATAATAAGACTCTAGTAATATCTTAAGTAGGGGCAGAGCTAATAAGAGAATTGACCAGCTAATTTTCAAAGGAATCTTAAGACAAATATGTAATTATGTATACAGTGAGTAGAGCTTTGCATATAGCATTGGCCTGGTTAGTTTTATCAGGACAAAATGTAGTAGGATTGGCTAGATCCTGGCAATTGCAATCTCTGTATCCAACATTGTATAGCAGGTCTGGTTATGGAGCAGAATATTAGCTAAATTACCAAATGAACAAAGCTCTGTGGGTCAGTGCTGACTTTTAATTTTGTACTTATTAGTGCTTTCTGAATCCAGATTAATAAAAAGTTATTAATATTTAATGCATTTCTACTTCTCAAACAATTTTTGTAGTCTTGTAGCCTAGTACATCATGACATTTATCACTTGATTTAGAGTCTTGTTGTGATTAAGAAATAAATATTTCTGAAGTTTGAGTATTCTTTCATAGTAACACATACACATACAATTATATATGTGTGTGTATACTTGTTACGTATGGGGGTTTGTTTCTTTGCTTTCCAGAATGGTGACATTTCAGAGGGAATTAGAAGCAGCCTAACTGAATAAATCTTGAGGAATCTGAGTGCAAACCTCTTCATGGGTCTTTCTGAAGTCCCCCTTCCTGGCAGCATGACTCTTGGAGGCCTTTCTCCATGTCTCTGGCTTCTCCAAATGGGTTAGTGGAACACAAAATTTTGGTGGCTTTACCTGTGGAAAAGCTCCCGAGTTCAAAACCTCAGCTTCCCTACTCCCTGGAATACATCTGTGACATATTAGCTCTATAAAAGAGGCATTGCAGCGTCTCTGAGCAAGGAGAAAACAAGATTTTATATCTGTGCCCCGCTATTTCAAGCAGTTTACTTGCCTGTTCCTGGAACTTATTTCCCATCCATACAATTTAGCAAGTTGAGTAGATGCACCCAGATTGGCGGCTACAATTCAAAGTTAAGATGAATAGCTAAATCAGGAATTCAAGTGAAGTGAGAAAACTGTCGAAAGTTGGAAGTAAAGGAAAGCAGAAGAATTTGGTAATTGTGCTATGGAAGGAGGAGAAAAGACCCATGCAGATAGCAGAACAGAAGTCTTTCTTTTGTGCGTGAAAGAAAGAATCTTTCTTTGAATATTAAAAGCACTTTCTTCCCTTGCAACAGCTTGATTTGAAAAGAAATCCATGTATTCTTTTGTAGTGTTGTAGGGGTTAGAGATATTGGTACCACATAGTTGAAAGAAATTGGGCTAGTTTATGCGGTCACTGTCTAAAATTCTCTACTTTTGTTCTCATGTGAATCTAAATATTACTGTCATTGCTATTGGTACAGAAAATGTGCAATATCATAGCCATACCTGATTAAATCAAGAAAGGCATCTGCTGCTGTCACTTGCACAATTTTGCCTTCTCTGTGCATGTTTTCTTTAGTACCTTTCCCAGGGTGGATGATGACCACAATGATTATACCAATCAGTACAGCAATGATCGTAGTACTCATGTAGTAGACTACTGCTCGGACTCCCATCTTCCCTGATGCTTTACTATCCAGGGCAGCAATTCCTAGTAAATTTAAGCACAAGGACATTCACCTCATACAGTTGTGAGTAAAGAGTATAAACTCAGCATGATGCAAATGGTTTGTGGGAAGAGTTTTTATGATCAGTACTTTTAAAGCTATCCAGGGTAAGTTGGCCCTCTTTTGCAGCTCGTACTGCCACTGTGTTCCCATCCCACCCCTAATGCTTGTTATTACATAATTTTCTATTACAAGAGTTCTGTTGCAAGAGTTACAGCTTTCTGTTCTTTGTTAACACTTTGTTAAAAGCAAAGATTATTGGGCTGATGCAGTGTGGCACTCCCTGTATTCCAGTGAGCCAATTCATGGTTTTTGATTAGCATAGTTACCACAGTCTGAAAAATGTGCCTTAGAAATGTGCTGCACCTGATTTGTAATAGTAAGAAAGAAAACAGAGTACTCTCAAATAATATTGATAATGTTTGCTACAATTAATGTGTATGAAGAGTTTTCTTCAATCCCTAATGGAATGTCCTCAGTTTACCTCTGTCCCAAGCCATGGGAGTTTAAAACAGATTAAATGCTGTTAGCTTGTTTCAGAAAATCCTTACTATTGTCTGAATAAGCATTTAAAGTCTTTTATAAGCTTTGCAAAACTTGCGACATTAATCCTAATTCTTGGCTCATCTTAATGCATCTGATCTAATGTGAATACTAGGGTGCTCACTATGGCATCTGCTAAAGTGTTTGTTCATCAGATTGCACCAACAGGGCTGCACTGTGTTTTTTAAATGAAGGTAAAGAGCTTTGAGTCTCTGACAAGGAGTGTCTCATGAGGACTGTCAGCAATGGAAATGCTTTTTCTCTTTCCAAGCAGGTGCAGTGTTCTTCTCCTTAAAATGCCCCTTTGCTCCTTCTCCTTAAAATTTCAAGTAGTTTATAACTTCCCCATACCATCTGTCTCAAAACAGTTGCTGATGCTTCCTGTTGGAATCAAGCTTTCAAAGTGCAGAATGAAAAAAGAGGTCAGGAAAGGATCTCTTTGCTTTATTATCTCCTCCTATGGACCCCTATATGGCACTGTCTAATCCAAACTTCTGCGGACTGCCCACACATTTATCTAGATGCTGTCTTTGAACATATAAAATATAATGAGAGTTAACCATCTTCTGCTCTGGGTACCTATCTCAGAGGAGAAAGCATTTAAAATAAGGCAACAGGACTTCATGAATGTAAATAATATGGAAACATAAAACTAGAATCATCACCTGGCAAAACTAAATGTTTTCTCAATTCGTTGTAGATATATCATACTTCTGTCTATCTTCTAAAGGAGGAAATATGTGCTACTGGAGTTACAGTGAAAGTACTCCTGTTGCTGATGTAACTGAGATCAAGGCTGTGTTCCAGGCTCTGATCAAATCTTCAAAGTATAAAACCAATCACATGCTTCATACTTACCCTTTCATTTCAGCTAGCGTTTGCCTGTCCTTTCAGCAGAAGCTGTTAAAGCCGTTAAGATTTGTACCCACAAAATGAATTGCAAAGGGAGATCACTAGATTCGCACCCTGAATTGCTTGATTTACATGTGCATTGTAGTGGAAGAACAAAGCGTTACTGGCACAGTAAGAAACGGAAAATGGAAATCCAACATTTGAAGCACTTGATCCTTCATTTTCCTGCTCAGCCTTTCCATCTGTAAAACTGGATGATAATGCTTGTGGTAAGTTTACATTTATGTTTTGAAATTCTGTGAGGGAAATGGTAAATACTACCAAGTAATAAATAGTTTTCTTATCTTTACAAAGAGGAAGTAAGTCCTGTAGCCCTCTTGTCGGTGGATGGAGGATTGGTTATTTTTTGAGAGTCCTCAAAATAATGCAATGCAAAATAATGCAAATATAATTAACCAATGCATAAAAATAAAGGTAATAATTTTTCGAGAATTTCAGATCTGTTACTGAGTTGCACAATGTTTATATAGACAGCATTTGTTACAAATTTTGTTTTTAAAGTATCTGTATGTAACTTAAAATGAACTGTAATTTAAAAAGTGAAAAATTAATGCAAGCATACTAGTCCAGTCTACTTTATCTTTGTATGTTTTAATTGCTGTTTTATGTCCTTACTTGCTATTTCTGAAGTAGCAGCAATGGGGTGTGTATTTTTTCATTTTAGCTAAGATCAGTTTTAAACTTGGTTTACATTCTGAGCATGAAAAGGTTAACCTATATAGTTTGGTAGGAAGGTTTGGAAATGCACAGATGTTAAATCAGTCAGTTCCCAGTATCCTGCCCTTGCCAGGTAATAGATTCAGGACCAGACGCTGAGCACTGACAGTCTAGAGGGTTTGCAGGCATACGTGCTTATTGCTTTAACCAAGCCTGATCTTTCTTTGTAGTCCACACTTTATACTAGGTTGTCTCCTACACTCCAAAAATCACTAGGAGTCAGTGTAGGGCATATCTTACTGCTAAAAATGATTGCTGTGTTGAAGGATTAGAGCTTGTGATCCTCTTTCTTTCTTGGACTGATTCTGAGTGAACCTCGTGCAAGTGATATGTCAGGGAGCAAGAGTCATGCTCTTTCCTTTATAAGCTGCTTTCCAGCTTGGTTTCCTATTATGCACTCCGGCTGTGACTACATGGCCCCTTATTTTAGGTTGCTCTGTCTTATTCCTGCTCTTGCTTATCATATAAATGACTTCTCAGCTTGAAAGTAGGGAACAGCAATTCCTGTCTTCTTGAGCTCTATCCGCTCGTGGCATTCAAAACAGGGGGATGACAGGCCCAAGTATGAACAAAAGCTATATGAGGAAGAAGCAAGTTCTCACCTCAGAGAGCCCTTACTGGGGAGCTGCTGGGCAGCCTTCCCTCCCACTGAAGTTAATGGGAACGCAGGGAACTCGCAAGAGGGGCACTTGGTACCGTCCAGGGCCAAAACTGCAAAAGCTTCCAGCATGCCAACAACAAGAATTATCTAAAAAAATATTTAAAATCTGTTTTTAAAACATGAGAAAATGAAGGGGTTTGTTTTCTTTACGTTTTAGGATGTTGGCAAGATTTCTTAGAGCTGAATGGGACTCTGGAAGAGTCCTTAATGGAGAAGCAATAAAGTTCACTCTAAAGCTTTCATGTGTCACAGACCATTGTATCCTCAGTGTGTCCTTTCACAGCCAGCCAGCAAAACTCCCATTGTCCCGCGGGAGATGTATGTGCCCCTTTCATACTGCTTGCTGCTCTCTCCTCCACACGGCTGCTGGCTCCAGCACCTCTGCCTCCTCTCTTCCTCTCCCCTCCCCTTCCCTGGGGGGCCTGGGAAACTTTGCTGGGCCACTGGTCCCCACGCACAGGGATGCCTTGAAGTTGTCAAGGCGACCTGGAGCAGAGCGCCTGTAATTTCTCCCAGTGTGTGCGCGCACACAACATGAATGGGAATGATTTTTTAAGTATTGATGGGGAGGGAGGGAGGCAGGGAGGGAGGAAGGGACGAGAAGAAAGAAGGGGCAGGCGTAAGTCTGTAAAACTGCAAACAAACCCAAGCCCTTACCCCTGTCCTCCCCTTCACCTACTCTTCCTCTCTCTTGAGAAGTGAGTGAGGAATCAGTCACGCTGTAGGTGAAATAAAGACATGACAAGGAGTTCTCCAGAGTGTCAGGGCGAAAAGCAAAGCACCATGTTGTTCTTTAACAAAGGTATTAGAGAAGAAATGAAAATATTTTAGGATGTAGGAAAGGCAGCAAGCAAGTAAGTATGTAACTGCAAGAGAAGAAGAAAGAGAGAGAAGGATGCAGCAAAGAGGAGAAAAAATCTAGTTAGGGCAACTTGTTAAAAATTCTGAATTGTTAATCTGATAGTTCTGATTGTTCACCTGACTTGGTTCTGCAAATTAGCATGAACTAATGATGCAGCAACTTTCCTGAACAGCTACTATACTACGACTGGTTTTGTGTCAATTATATTTTTTTATACTGTACTTGTGATTCTAGATTATACAGAATTCTAGAATTTACAAATCCAGAGTTGCTTCTATTGTTTTTAATTTTCTTGACATTGAAAGCATGCTATACATAATCCATGTGTAATCTTGGATTGTACTAGGGCACGCTAACGCAGAGGAATGGTACTGTACTCCTCAGTAAGATCAAAGGTAAAATATAATGAGCATTTTTTTTAGATAACATTTAAGCCAATAACAGCTTTGGATCTGCTCGTTCAAAAATAAGTTCCAAGGAGTTATTTTAAAAGCCAAAAAGCAGAGCCTATGCTAAAAAGTCCTACAACTTCATAACACTTTCTCCCTTTAATTAGCACAACTCCATCAACTGATTTTTTGCAGAACAGTCCAATGTCCTCAAGTCATAAGTTATGAGCTATTTCGGTCTGAGATTTGAGTTTAAGCACATACCTAATTTTCCTGTTACAGTACTTAAGAGCTTCTGCCTGTGGGTTTTTTTAGAAAGAAGGAATATACATACTTACACAATTAGACAGAATATGCATATTTATCACAATGAGAACTAGTTGGCAGATGGTATGACTGAGGCCCTATTTCTGGTTGTAAACTCCTAGTCAGAAAAGCATTCTTGGACTTATATTTGTCTTTAATGTTAATCACTAACTAACATGGTTTGCCAAATCAGGGCCCATAACTAGCAGTTTTTAAATGGGATCTATTTCTGTACACTTAACAGTAAGGAGTATGCTACTGAAGAACTGGGCAAGTAGCGAGATCCATTTTCTTTTGCTTTTCCTAAAAAAACCAGTACTACTTAGGACTGATCCTAGTACCTTCAGTGATTTTATCATTTGTCAGAGCAAGAAAGACTCTGTCACTGGGGGGAGGGTGTGTGCATGTGAGTGTATGCATATATGCATGCATATAATTTCAGTTTGAAAACACTTAAAATGCTCAGCTACTGCTTTTCATGTTGAAAGTCCCTGTCTCTGGAATCTTTTTGCTGTCCTTTAAAAACTTTTGGAAAATATAGGAAGTTTATGTGTTTGCTTTCTTATGCTAAAATTCTTGTGTTTGTAACAACAGAATCTAACATTTTGCCCACAATATCTTTAACTTTTGCTTTCTTTAAAATTACTTTTGTTGCATAATGATGACAATTTAAAATGTAGAATAGACTATTTCAGTTGGAAGGGACCTACAACGGTCATCTAATCCAACTGCCTGACCGCTTCAGGACTGACCAAAAATTAAAGCAAGTTATTAAGGGCATTGTCCAAATGCCTCTTAAGCACTGACAGGCATGGGGCATCGACCACCTCTCTAGGAAGCCTGTTTCAGTAAAGAAATGCTTCCTAATGTCCAGTCTGAACCTCCCCTGATGCGGCTTTGAACCGTTCCCAGGCGTCCTGTCACTGGATCCCAGGGAGAAGAGACCAGCACCTCCCTCTCCACTTCCCCTCCTCAGGAAGCTGTAGGGAGCAATGAGGTCGCCCTCAGCCTCCTTTTCTCCAAACTAGACAACCCCAGAGACCTCAGCCGCTCCTCATAGGATGTTAATGTAGTAACGTAGACATCCTGCTCAGTACGAGAGGAACCGCAGGGTCAGAGCCCTCGTGTGGGCACTTGGCTGAGGAGCCACCAGCGCGAGGCTACCGTCTGTGGGCGTATGACTGAATGCTTTTAAGTCAGAAACCTGCCGAGACCTAGCGATATGTTGTGGCAAATATGTAAAATGACGAACCAGATCTGAATGAGTGAGTGAACAAACTGTGCATTCTGGTCCTTATACATATTGACTACTGGAAATAAAAAAGGGAGGATTTCTATGATCATGATGAATTTTTTCCTTATTCAATGTCTTAGAACTGAATTGATGGCACTTCCTTGCTAATATAGACTTTTATATAAATTTCCTTTAAAGTTTTGGACTCAGTCTTTAAAAACAAAACGTTATGAACAGAGCACCTTTTTATTGCTAATTATTTCCCTGTTTATTTTTTACGGTCTCTTCATTAGGAAATTGTAGTTGCTTGTTAAGCACTCCTATGGTGGAACAGCAATAATGGCAACTGTTGACTTAGGAGTGTTGCCGTAGTTTTGTTTCTTTAAGGTTGTCTTTCACTCTCCTAATGAAGCAGTCTTAAATGGGCTGCTCCCGACCCCCTACATCCACTAAGCACTGTGTGATGAGTAAACTCTCAGTGTGAGACCATGAGAACAATCCCTTTTGTGTATGTTGATGAGGATTTGTGGAAATGAATAACACTGTGCAAGCTCGTGGTAAAATATGCTGACAGAAAAATTGTAAGGAAAAGCAATAGTTAAGTAAAGAGTGTGGAAGTATTGCCCGACTTTAACATTATTAAGCTCTAGAGCTTTTTTCTCATAGCTGCTAAACACGTCCTGAGTGGTGCTGAGCATTCCCAGAAAACCAAATTTAAATAATATTTAAAGCTTTGAAAATTGAGCCCTTCACAAGATCAGGTCCAAAATTAGTCCAAACTCTAGATTATTATTTTTAATAGCAGTAGCACTAAAAGAAAAAAATTGCAAAGAAAAAAGCTAAATAACATTTTCAAAGAACTATATGCATTGGTGAAGTTAATTAACATTAAATCAATACAGCTAATGACATAAAATACAAGTCTGAAAAATAGCTCTGTATGCCTTTTTGCACGAACTGATGGGACTAGCTGCCCGGAATCGTCAGTTTAACTTATCCTTATTTGAATACGGAAATTTAAATAATGAAATTAGATATTTTATTAATTTTTCCAGGTCCATTAAGAACACTGGGCAAATATCTCACAGGAAAATTAGCAGTTGTATTTGATCCAAAATTACATGACTGTGATTAAGCCAAGCTGACTAATGAAACCCATTGCTGGGATATAGTAATGCAATTCAATGAGCCAGTTAAATGGCCCCTAAAGGACTAGAACTGCCCCGCAGCTTTGTAGTCCTGCACCATCCCTTGCCACCAGAAAACTATTAACTTTGGGTTTTGTAGGGTTAGTTTTTCTGTCAGTTTGTCATTCTGAATCATCTCAGAATTGTTTCATGTGAACACCAGAACTTGTACAAGGGAAGCAGAAGGAGAAGGGCAGAAAACTAGCATTTTGGCAGCAGTTTGCCATTACTTCAAGTTGGCTGTATTGTTAAACTGCATCCTTTGCTCTTTGGTGGCAGCACTGCTAAAAGCAAGTTAAGCGTTCCTTACTTCCCCCTGCTTATCTTTATGCTGGCTCTGTTCTCACCAGGTAGCTGAGCAAACACCATCCACCATTTGATGACAAGGGGAGAACAAGTGTGTGTGAAAGAGCACCTGGGCTCAAGAGAGCTCTGGAGGGCCCCACTACTCAAACCAGCACTGCCTTCAAAAAAAAACCAGCATAAAAATATACCCTTATGAAGTTACACACATGTTCCTGTTACATGTAAGACAAAATCTCACTGCGTGAGTGGATCAGAGAAATCACAGACTTTAACAGAAAGGTGGGACTTAACAACATGTAGAAGAGCACTTAAATAAAGCGATGTACCTTTCTTTGTGGATTCTCCACTACTACAGTGAGGAAAAAGGTAGTATGTGACAAAAAAAGACCTTTTCCAGAGGATGCTAACCTAACCCTGCCATATGTACTTATTTCTGATATTCATAGAGTGCTTGTTTTAAAATATAACTGAATGTGGATGCTGGTTACCTCTCAGTGATTCTGAAAGCTTTTGCATGTGCAAAAGTGATGCAAACCGAACATTGTGCTCTTTCTGTTGGTCTCATACTTCTTGATGGAAACAATGTAAAAATATGCTAGCAAATGGGTATAATGTGTGCTAGTTTCAAATATATTTCCTCCATCCCTTTCTAACTCTTGTTAAGGGAATATATTTTGTAACTGACCATGTTTTTTCATCGTTCATCCTCTTGGCTGCAAACACATGCTCTTCTAACCACAGTTTATTTATTAGAAGGAAAATGTTTGTGAAACCACTGTAAGATAATGTCAGAACATCACTGACTGGTGTAAATGGTAGAGGCCCAAATAATCTCTAGGGGCTTTATAGTGATTTTTACCGTTCAGTTAATCATGAATAGTGAAAGACCATTTTGTTGTTATTCATCACTGATATGCTCTTTCAGTGGAATAACTTCACTTTATGAAACTTGGCTTCATTTCAGTGGATCAAGATTAGTTACCTTATAAAAAAATATGACAGTAATCTATGCTGGAAAGTGTTTCCTGGGCCATCAACTATAGCATTCTGATACAGCAGGCAAATATATTATACAGTCTTTGTTAGAAATTTATTGAGCTTGAGGTTCAGATCAGTTGTTATTTTTACCCTAACTATTTTCATGGTAGGGTATTCCACAGCCTTGCTTACTTCTTACTTTGCTTATTTCCATGCACAAATAACTTGATTGGTCAACAGCTCAATGTCCAGATGGAGA